CAAGGCCAACATGCACTGCCATGTGTGTTTAACAGATCCTTCGTTAAATCAGTATGAAGCAGTGTCTAGAGCTAAGCTATTTTTTCACACACACGCACACCACAACTATTTTACTGAAAAGAAAACACATGTCGATTTAGAAAGTCTTCTAAATTTCAGTACATGGAATTAGAACTGTCCTTCCCTATATATTCATTTTCGAATGTTATGACCATACGCATAACATAAGTATGATATTGTTAACTTTTCACTAAAGAATCACCAGTATCAACTAATTACCAATACGTAGAGAACAGATATTGATCAGTCGATCATGAAAACGCATCGTAAGAAACCAAAATTTTTGCGTACTGTTAGTTTATCGGACCAGTCATTATGAGTACAGTAAGGAATACGGAAATATTGTAGATATATGCGAAATAGATAGTTAAAACTTTTCGTGTATCTTGTTTTGCTATTTATAGTAAACATGTTGTTGCTATAACTAATCAACTACCAGTTCCATAACGTCTGTTAATGTTTTCTTTTTATAAGTATGTCAGATTGCCGGTAGCATTTCAAGTAACAAATACCTCAATAACTTTCTCCTTACAATGAAATTGATTCTTTAATTTTGACCATCATATACAAATGTATCTTCCGCTTAGCATGCACTATATTGTTCGAACAAAAATTACAACATACAACGAATATCTGAAGCAAACTGGTTCGTATCCACATTATTTGTCACTTTCGTCCTCCATTATTCCGTATCGCACGATTTCATCTCGCTCAAAAAGTAACACACCGCTATACGTTCGACACCTTGCTAGTAAATCGACTGTTTATAAAAATAATTTAAAACACTAAGCTCGTTAAAATTTATTAGTACGTATTTTCAAAATTAAATTGGTCGCGCGGCTGTGCCGCACCTCACCAAATACGTCCTAATAAATTTTAACATATACTTAGACTACGACGTTCAAGGTCAATTGATGATAGCCATGTATCACTTCTCGATCATAAAATTTGAAAAAGTTAAACACACTTTAATATGTCGTCATATAAAACAATAAAATCCCCTCAATTTATAGTCTGATTTTATTGACCTGTCAATTATGAATACATTATAGCACTCATTTTAATATTCGATCCCACTTCGGCTTGGTCCGTGTAGTTTACGAGAATTAATATGAGTATATTAGTAATTTTTGTCACTCAAGCCTGTTTAATAAGAAGAATTTCGTTAAATTTACAATATCACAATCTGTTTTGTGAATGCCTGATATGTGATAGGTCTGTGGTTCGATTTCTACTGTTACAATTTTTATTTAGGCCTACTCTTTATTTTTGCAGTAATCTTAATGGAATCGATTTGTATTGTGTTTACAACATTGAAATGACAATTAACATAAGTAGTAATGATAGCTTTAATAATGTTGAAAATATGAACATAAATCTACTCGGTCTCGAACTTACAACATGTAGGGCACTTAGATTATAAACCCATACTTTACCCTATTGAGCACACTTAATTCATAGATACAATTTAATTCAATTAAATTGTAATGTAATTGTCAGGTTAATAAAATCAATTAATACAACGGTCAATCAGATAAATCTGTTAAATTGTCAGCAAATGTTTATGTTCAAATTACAATGAGGTGTCAAAACTTAAAAAGTCCATGGTGAGATAGTTAGATATATAATAGGTTGAACAGAGTTATACGTAAAGTTAACAATGAGGTGATAAACAAATCGTCCACGGTGTTATACATGTTCGTTTGGTTTACAATTAGGTGATAAACGAATCGCCACGGTCTTATACATGTACGTTAGATTTAAAATGAGGTGACAAACGAATCGTCCACGGTTTTATACATGTACGTTAGATTTACTATGAATTGATAAACGAATCGTCCGCGATGTCATACATGTACGTTTGGTTTACAATTAGGTGAAAAACGAATCGTCCTCGTTGAAATACGTTAGATTTACAATTAGGTGATAAACGAATCGCCACGGTCTTATGCATGTACGTTATATTTAAAATGAGGTGACAAACGAATCGTCCACGGTTTAATACATGTACCTTTTAAATTTACTATGAATTGATAAACGAATCGCCCACGATGTTATACATGTACGTTAGATTTACAATGAGGTGATAAACGAATCGTCCACGTTGAAATGCATTAGATTTACAATTAGGTGAATAACTAATCGTCCACGGTTTTATACATGTACGTTTGATTTATAAGTAGGCGATAAACGAATCGTCCACGTTGAAATACGTTAGATTTACAATTAGGTGATTCACGAATCGTTCACGGTTTTATACATGTACGTTAGATTTAAAATGAATTGATAAACGAATCGTCCACGGTTTAATAATGTACGTTAGATTTACCATGAATTGATAAATGAATCGTCCACTGTGTTATACATGTACGTTAGATATAAAATGAGTTGATAAACGAATCGTCCACTGTGTTATATATGTACGTTTGATTTACAAGTAGGCGATAAACGAATCGTCCACGTTGAAATACGTTAGATTTACAATTAGGTGATTCACGAATCGTTCACGGTTTTATACATGTACGTTAGATTTAAAATGAATTGATAAACGAATCGTCCACGGTTTAATAATGTACGTTAGATTTACAATGAATTGATAAACGAATCGTCCACTGTGTTATACATATACGTTAGATTTAAAATGAATTGATAAACGAATCGTCCACGGTTTTATACATGTACGTTAGATTTAAAATGAATTGATAAACGAATCGTCCACGGTGTTATACATGAACGTTAGATTTACAATGAGGTGATAAACAAATCGTCCACGGTGTTATACGTGTACGTTTGCTTTACAATTAGGTGATAAACGAATCGTCCACGTTGAAATACTTTAGATTTACAATTAGGTGATTAACGAATCGCCCACGGTCTTATACATGTACGTTAGATTTAAAATGAGGTGATAAACAAATCGTCCACGTTGAAATACGTTTGATTTACAATTAGGTGATTAACGAATCGTCCACGGTCTTATACATGTACGTTAGATTGAAAATGAGGTGATAAACGAATTATCCACGGTTTTATACATGTACATTATATTTAAACTTAGGTGATTAACGAATCGTCCACGGTGGCATACATGTACGTCAAATGAGGTGATAAACGAATCGTCCACGTTGAAATACTTTAGATTTACAATGAGGTGATACGCCAATGGTTCACTATGTTAAACGTTTAATTTACAAACTGATTTAATAAATATAAGAACAGAACATTTTATTTTAGACTTGTACATAGTACATCGCCATGCAATTAGATAAACTAAAAGGCTCGAGAAGTTGCTGTCGCCCTTTCACAAAATCTGATTTCATTCCATAAAGGGGCGCCGCGCTTCGGCGCGGACGCCAATAAAACAATTATCACGTCACGTGATCATGGTAACATAAAGTACAATATGATACTCATCAGGTTGAAAAATTCACTTGTTTACAAAAAGAATGTTAAGATATGCAATAAATTAATATTTTCTTAAACATAACAGTAATAGAAATCCTCCAGCCAAAACCTCACAGGATCTTGTATACCATATTAGACAGTTATACATTATACTTTAATTCATCAAATCACCAAACAACAGCTGATTTAAAGATAATACATGTTTATAACATTGGGAATTTGGAACAACTTGTAATGTTGATATAGAATATTTGATATGAATAATGTCTTCAAGGAAATACAAGTGAATCGAAAAGTTATCAATAATCATTGCTTTGGGTATCTTAAAACTCGAATTCATATACAGATTTTAAAAGTTCAAAAGATAGATTTAATTTCGTTACAGCTGCAAAATATTTCATAGAAAATCAAAGTTAAGAAAAATATACTTATAAACTTAGAAAAGTAAAAAGATTTAAGATTCAAGTGATAATTTGCATGTATTGTGTGTGATTAAATAATGATTTTACAGTTTTATCACCATACTACTACTGCGTGAATAACGCATTACCGCCTTTTTTCATTATTTTGTCCTCTTTGTGGTAATTTATGTTGATTGAAATAGCCGTTTTGCTTCTTTAAGATATAAGTTTTCAATGCACATGTATAATTATTAGCATGACGACGTGAATCAATATTTTGTTTTTGTCCTCTTCATAATGATATGTAGCTATAACTGCAATTATAATACGTAGAACAGACAAGTCTGCATATCTGTTTAGTTTGATTTGACTTTTCTTTTTCATTACAGTATACGTAGCCCCGATTTCGTTTTAACAATGCACGTTTGACTCTACTTAAAAGTATTAACTTGTTTGTTGATAAAGAAAATCTAATACGTATTTGAGGAGATCACAGACTTTAAAAACAAGCTATTCTTTATACACAGAGCTAAATGAAAAGTACACAAACAATGCCGATTTTAAACTTCCATTCTTTATTAAAACAGTGTCGTTTTTCATTCTATTAAATTTGTAAAGTATTAAATAAGTATATGTAAATCGTTTTCCAGTTAAGGAAGTGTTGATATTTTTTCCACTGTAAACCTTGCCAAAAAATATGAAAAACAAGATCAACAAGGAAAGGCGGCGTTCAATGAACGCAACCCCCATATGACCCAGCAACAAGAACCAATGGCAAGGAGCCCAGGCGGACCAAGCCTTTCACGGCATTGAAGTAAAATTCTATAACGGCTATCCAATCGATTTTCTATATACTCAATGTATTAATAAGAGATCTATTGATTACCTTTTTTTGAGCCGCACATTTTAATTGGTGGAAAAAGGGGAAGAGATATTTAAATGTGTTTATGTTCTATTTCAAATATTTCACTATAACTTGAATTGCCAAAGTGCGTAATTGTTAATATTTTGTCATAATTGGAACCACGCATTCTGATTGGCGAAGAAAAAGAGGAAGCGATGTGTTCTTGTATGAATATAAATATATATTCAAATATTTCTATAAAGTTTAATATAAATTGTGAGCGATAGAGAATGTGTATGGTAGTTTACTTTTTAGTTTTGTCATGAACCGTATAGTTTATCTGTGAAGCATTGATGAAACGTCAATAAAAACGCAAATATTTTCTGCTTCTAATAGAATGATTGCACGGGCCATACATTTTGTTACATTTTTGTGTTTTTTAAAGGACTGGCTACCAACAAGGAATGTTAAAATAAAATGAGTGAGAGAGTCTGTGTGAGTGTGTGAGTGCGCGCGCAAGTGAGTGAATAAGCGAGTCGGAGGGAGTGTGTAGTGTAAGTGTGCGCGTGAGAGAAACTTAGTTACATTAACACGTGTAAGCAGTTTTTACAATTTCAAGTTGTTTTAAACAATAAATGACATCAGAAGTTGTATATAAAAATCTGGAAATTGTGGTATTGATATGAATAAACTTACTAAAGAAGAGATGATTTTTATTTGTCTTAGGTCGGTAAGAACTAGCGATGAAAATTATTAATGGGACAACTCCTATAATTGTAAATATTATTTCAAAAGAATCTGTATTTATTTTAATTTTCAATTTTAGATAAATGGAGTGAAAACACAATGTGATGTTTGTGAGTTAAAGCAGATTGACAGCTGCACTGAAGACGTGCCTTTGGATTGTAAAGGCGAGTCTCGAACACTGGTTGCCAAGGGAACCATCTGTATCCACAAAGTGTGTGGTTTACTCAAGCATGCAGAGTGTACAATAGGAGGCCGATGGGTCGGACCGGATGGGAAAGAAGTGAAAAGCAATGTAGAAAAGAAGTGTATGTACAATAAGAATTGTTCTATGAGAGATGTTTAATTTTATTGAAACATAATCATACAAGCACCATTTGAATCAAAGCACTTAAAAGTACTGATCGAAAGCGAGATCAATTGTAAAAAAAAAACATTCAATGATAATGTTAGTTCGCACCCAAGCGAATAGTTTAATTGTATCATAGTTTGGGGACCTTTCTGTTGAAAATGTGTCAGAGTTTCAGAGTTAAAACGTATACATATACATGCACAGTGCGTTAACTGGGGTGCAGGTATTAGTTACCCGCACTCCAGAGCATGCCCATTGATTGGTTCATTTTGTCTGGGGTTTACATATTATGACGACATAGAAAGGAAAAGCAATAGAAATATCGTATTCAGATGCGCGTTCATTGGTTATTTTTTTCTGGGGTTTCATAGTGTGACATCAGGGAACGTGTTTTTATTTTGTCTATGATATAAAAGAGAAAGAACATCAAAACACTCGGCATTCTGATTTATACTCGGGGGCTACGCCCCTCGTACAGATCAGATAGCCTCGTGTGTCTATGCTCTTTCAATTACTTGCTACAAGTTTTAAGTTTAGCAAGCACGGGTGATATCTTAACTGGCTAGAAAGTTGCCTTTCTCTGTTATCTATGTCTCTGACGAATCATAGTAATTTTGTATCAATAATTACAGTTATTTTTAATTGAACAGTATATTCATTTTCATCACAAAGGTATATAAACTCTTTTGTACACATGGAAAAATATTTATTCAAAACCTATTCCCCTTTTTTGTAAAGGGTAAACTTCGGTCAAGAACATGATAAAAAATTCAAAGTTATGATGCTAGAGAGACACATATATTCAAATATATATTGGTAATCGTAGATATCGTTTTATTCCATCGATTTCCATTGCGTAGATTACCAAAGGTATTCGGATCGTAGAAAACTAAAAAACTACATTTGTGTTGGTATTTGTCGCATTGAAAGGCAGTAAAGCGTTACGATTTTTTTTTATATAAAATTGTCGAACCGACGGGTATATTGATTTCAACATTCAGAGCTATTTATTACCAAATTTGAAATGGGGAATTCACAATACGTGTATGCCAAAATAGAAAAATAAAAGTTTTAAATTTCTTGAAACACTTTATAGGCTTAAGTTTATGTTCATGTATATTGTTATTTAGAAATCATCATAAGATATACTTAACATAATTGATAACCATCTATAGTAGGTTGACAATGTATGTTTAACTTATACGATCCCTACTTTGTTTTATAAAAGCAATATGGTAGTGGCAATTTGATATCTAAGTATATACTATCCCGGTTTTCCCGGGATCTCTTTATTTAACGATAAAAAGGATCAAAGGTCATGACTAAAACACGAAAGTGACTTTTCCTGAAGAATGTGAGCAAACTTGAATTTAAAAACGTTAAACATGGCGTTTAAATAAATTTTATATTTAAATTGCAGTTTATAGATGTATATGATCAAAAATGAACACGTTTTCATTTTTCCTAAAATAATCATTATGATATGAAATACTCTAAATAGTATTTTTTTAAATGGTATTGCTAGTGAATATCAATTATTAATAAGTAATGTTAATTATCTTCTTTTAGATCAATTTAATATGTCAGGATCACGCAACTAGTTTTCGAAATACATAAACATGTATAAGTACATTTTTATTGATAGCGCATAATTAAAACTGATAGTTTCTTATATTTATGTTACAATGAAATACAATCATTTTTCTATCACGCGACTTGATGCTTTAGCAAAACCTCTACTTGTAGTCTCTTGATTACTATGCTACCCCAACCTTAATATTATCATTGTTTCTCAACCCACGACCCATTCCAGTGTGGGTAGGGTAGGTATTTAAGTATCTTTTTTTTTGGTAAACAAAAACTTCGTTATATAGTACTCCCCGCGGGTACCGCGTCCTTTCCCATTCCGGTGCAATCAGAAAAAGTGTTTCTTTTCACTGAACGCGACCAATCGAATGTTTCCACCATTAAAGTGAAAGTGGAAGTGCTGCTTTTTTGAATTTGGATAAAAAATGTTTGAAATATTTTCATTTAAAATAAATTTCTGTCATTGATAGGAAAATCCAAAGCTGCCCAAGTGTGTTGGAAATACTTTTTTTTATTTTATCCCATATTTACCGGTTAAACTGAAAATTTCATGTTCTGACAAATAAAGGTCGTCTTCCGAAACTGCAGTGATGTCATATTCTGTTGAAAAAGTTCTACTGATTCTAAAATGGGCCATCAATTTACATACCACTGTACCATAGTGCTCTCCGTTTAAGCTCCCATTCAAAACATGACTTAATGACCATACATGTTTCTAATTTAAATCATTGAATTATTCCATGAATGACATATATGTATTTTAAAGTCAAGATGCGACAGTTAAACATAATTTAATAAAATAGTAAATACAAGTACTTTTTATGTGTAAAATTTGCTGGAAATAATAAGAACAGTGGTACCATAGGGGACCATCCTAAGTGACATATATATATTTTGTTTAAATGGATCTCAACATTTGTGTACTTTAAATTAATTAAGAATAGACCAAACAAATAATGGTAGCGAAATTTCAGAGCCTAATGCTGTTAATTGTAGTCCACTTTCTTGAAGCGGTTACTTCCCTTTATATGTACACAAACGCCGAAAAATTCAGGGGAGATCAATGCGTAAAGATTGTCAAATGACAGACGCATTTATTTTCAAGCAAAGTAGTTCCCAAATGGTCGACCATTTCTTATATTGTTTCATTCTTTATAGATATACATGCTTACAGTAAGCGCCATGATTATTTACATCTGTGTTAAACAACAGGTTTAGCGTCGAAATAATAAGAGTTACAAACCTTAATTTAGAATAATATGGGTTTCCTCAGGCCTTAACATATAACTTCACCGTGGTCGAGGGGATTGCACGCTGGCTTATGAATTGAGAGGTCTGGAGTTCAAAACCCAGTTGAGGCAACTCTTTTTAAAATTTTTTTAAATCAAATAAATATTGAATTGACTGTCAGCGTTGCAATTAGTCTTATAGCCAATTTACAACAGTTAAACAATGGAAAGCATTGGTGGCACTATACAAAAACGAATTGGTTTATAATCTCACAACCTTCACCTTTCTGACATTCTGAGACCCAAACAAATTCAGCTCCTCCTGTGCTTTGATTTAAGTATTTTTATGCAACTGCATTAATAGATCTTACTATTTGTTCTGATTTGCTTAAATAGTAACGTTCTATACATGTAACTTTTAGACAGTTACGTGCATATTTGACTTAGAAACGACGACATAGATCTTGAGGCGAAAAAACAATTTTATCTTTTTTTTTCTTGTCAGTAATACATACTGAATATATACTATACTGTATAAAGTTAACTTTCATTTATCAGTAAAATCACGACTGTTTTTGGATTATATAAGTGGCTCAGTCTCGCGTTCATTTTGAAAGGAAGGTTTATACGACAGCATCTTAATAATATCATGGCTCGATTCAGATCTCACGTCAAAGACTTAATAAATAGTTTAACAAAGGCTAGCCACTCATATACGTATATCACATTAGTATTTATATTCATACATACCACTTTTTGCGATTTTTTTCTTTAAGATATTTTCTTTACAATTTTCAGAGAAGTTGTCAGTTAATTTTTTGATCGATACGCCCCTATTATTTACTAGTTATTATACACTCTTATCGATAAATACTCATTTTTCAGACTATAATGCCAGTTTTTTCATATCTGAATAACTTCAAAATGGTGGTTTACAGTGATTTACTAGGTTAAATGCAACATTATGAAAACCATGTTTAATTGTTTGTTTTTTTATTTTTGTCTACTCAGGCAACCACAAGGAATTTATTTACGAGCACAAGGAAAAGAAAGTTAGAAAGAAGAGGTTTATCAGGATTTTTCGAAGAAATTCCCCACCTCCTCCACCACCACCACGTAAGTGTTAACAGTTATTACACATGTATATATCGGCAAAGTGACATATTTCTTGAGTAAGTTACTAAATTCTATGGCTAAGCCTAATACTTTACTTGGTTTCATAAAAGTCAATGTCTTTTAGCTGTATATGACCGAAAGTCTGACTGCTCTAATATATCTTAAAATGGATAATATTTTTCAACTGTTTAAATAAACGAGATAGTGTGTAAGCAATTATTAGTACATTGTATAAATAGTTAGAGTCGACAATGATTTATCATCAGCTCCAGATAAAGTTTCTTCAGCAGATCACGTGATACGTTTATCTATGACAATTAGGGACGTCCACGTATAAAATTGTCTGCCTGATCATCATGAAGGGCGAAAATTCAATGTCTGTACTTTCTCGTATTCGCAAAGTATGGCGGTTAATTAAAGCAATTGCGTATTTACGAATTTTCGACACGTTTACACCATTGTGAATAACTACTGTTAATAACTGAAAATGATTTAACAAATATAAAACCACATTTTTTTTCCAGCCAATTGTGGACAGCCGGGTACCATTGCGCATACAAGTTTGAATGTAACCAGTACTTCACAAGGGGGCGTGGCTACATACACGTGCCACTCTGGATACGGACATACAGGCGGCACATTGAGGCGTGTTTGTCAATCCAACGCTCAGTGGTCCGGTAGTCCTCCTATATGCTCATGTAAGTGAAACAGTAAATTTTTCTATCTTTAAGCTTAAAGACAAATTTCAATTACTTATTTTTAAGGTACGTTAACTTAATTTACCTTAAAACTATGTATGAATGTTATATACACAACTTATTTGTAGCCCGTTACGCCTTTGAATGGAATATTCTTCGCCTGTGGGAGTAACAGAATAACGGAATCCCCGCTCATTCCACTTGGATGGAGTTACAAATGGGCATTATTTGAGAGGAAACTTGTTTTGTACTATGTTTGTAAACTGTTAAACTTCTGCGCATGATGGAATTATTTTTATACTATATGAATTGTGGTACAGACACATCTTCTGTTTTTGCAGATATGAATTCATGCAGCAGTACCCCTTGCAAAAATGGCGGCACGTGCAGCAATATCCCAAACTCGTTCACATGCAGTTGTTCTAGCATTTGGAAAGGTTCAAGATGTGAAATAGGTATAATTTATAAGTGTGCAATAGAATCATAACCATCAATGCATTTAAGACAATTGTGGCAGTTGTTATGCATTTTTTTGCTAGAGATTTTTTTTCAAGAATGCTAAATCAACGTAGATTTCCATGGTGGCCATAACGAAGGCCATCTTGTATTTAAGCCATGACTATAAACATATTTGCATCAATAAACTGTTATATGAACAATAAGATTATAATAAAATTTCAAATGACATGACTGAATGCATTTCAGAAGATCTCCATACAAATAGTATATTTTGATATCAACTTATCTCTGGCGTGGGTTCGATCCCCGGGAGATGCTTTGGAAGTTTAGCGCGGAGTAAGGTAGTCTAGTACTGGTGTAACTCTCCATGAACGATGGTTAGGAAACTACCCGCCTATATGACTGAAATACTGTTGGGAAAAGGCGTAAAATGAACCAAACAAACAAAAATATGTATATTTTGGTATCATTTTGACAAGTCATATTCTTGCAGGATACGAATAGTGACCTGTACGGGGTCCGTACAATCTATCTCCCTACTTTATTACCCTCTCAACTTCCTTTTATCATTTAAATAATTTGTTTCAGAACTAATACCTTTTAAAAAAAAAACGTTTTTGTCTAGTTCCAATGGAACAGTTTTGACGTCTTCCATACATAAAAATGTTTACAATAATTGGACATTGGATACTATGTATAAAGCCTAAAAGGACAAGATATTGTTTGATGACCATCACCTGAACAAAAAGTATTGAATAATTTTAAAGATAGTAGAAGACTGATGTTTTTCCAATCATGATGATTTAACCAATAAGAGCTCATATATCTATTTATAGCTCATGGTGCATTTTAACAATCAGATCTATATTTATATCTCATGGTACTTTTTACCAATCAAAGCTTGTATATTTAAAGCTCACGGTGATTTTTACCAATCAGAGCTCTTATATTTAAAGCTCACGGTGATTTTTACCAATCAGAGCTCGTATATTTATAGCACATGGTGATTTTTACCAATCAGAGCTCGTATATTTATAGCACATGGTGATTTCAGATATCGATGAATGTGCATCATTGTCTCTGAACAAATGTAACCAGAAATGCAGCAACACATACGGATCTTTCACGTGCTCTTGTAACACCGGTTATCGTCTGCTTCCAGACAGGCATACGTGCATAGGTAAGTAATGCACGAGAGACCTCGATATTGCTAAAGGAACTTTTCATTATTTTAAGTAATATGTGATAAGATAGTATCCTTCAATATATAATCAAAAACGAAAACTCTCGACTAAAATTAAAAAGTAAATGTCAGGTTTTGAAAAACAAATCATAATCAAGCTGAGTTTTATCGAAAATATCTATGATATTGATATTATATGAATGTTTCAAGATATTGATGAATGCGCAGAGAAAACATCCGGTTGTAATCACGCATGCGCAAACTCGGAAGGCTCTTTCATATGTTCCTGCAGAGATGGATTCGAATTATCATCAGATGGAAAATCATGTCGAGGTTGGTTGTCGTTTCAAATTTAGCTGTAAAAATATATTGTTATAATGCTACATCACAGATGTTCTTTGTACTAAGTGAACGAGTAAGACCTGTCTTAGATCATAAGACCAGTATTTTCGTTAATCTTCTTAGTAACGCCTGTAGTTAATTCGAAACAGTCAAGCTTTTGTGAAGAATCACCTTTCAGTAAAATCGTAAAATTCATTGTATCATTTGATGTGTACTGCAGTAATTGAAATAAGTATATTTGAACATTATATTTTTTGATAAATTGTCTTTTCAACAAAGATTTTGCCAATTGCTTCTGAAATATCCCCAGACAGAGCTGAATATTATCAAACATTGTCGACATACAAACATTTAAAAAAAAAACGTCGAGGAAGTTTGAAGGTCATATTTCATATTTATTGTTTTACCAGATATTGACGATTGCGCAAAAGGAACTTCCGGTTGTGAACACACTTGTACTAACACAGTTGGTTCCTTTACGTGTTCATGTAAGGCCGGGTACCAACTCGCAATCAACAGAAAATCGTGCTCAGGTAAGTACAGTGCCGCTAATCCATGTAATGTATTTTAATTGTTAAATAATTTAACAGTTGTTTTACCAACGGGTATGTCTTCATGAGAGACTAACTTTCTTTACTATTTTTGTAATCACGAAGTATTCGTGAATATCACACGGGAGTTAACGAACATATATCATTAACTTCTAATGTGCAAATTTTATTAAAATAGCTTTTAGAACTGAAAGTCGACATTTAAAGCTTCAAATAACTTAAGTGATGACATAACAATCATGGTCCTTTCTAAATTCTGTTTTTCTGAAACTGTACTGTACTTCATTTTAACCTTTAACCGGGACCAATCGTCATTACCTTGCATTAGGATACAGTTAACAACAGATGAAAACGAAAGTGGGTAACTTTTTTAGACTTTCAATCCATTGTTGGCTTGTGCATCATGGAACATTGAATAAACGAAAGATTGTGTTCAGTTACCTCCCTTCCGTATCCTCCATCATGCATCAGCAATTTAATAGCAGAATGTCAATAAACGAAATCGTGTTAAAATGCTCACCAATACGTTTTACTGTAGTTTTAACTCCATGTCAGCATTGTGTTTAAAAATCTGAATATAACTCGACCGCAAACAAATGTGATAGACCTAAGCAATGTTCGTGTGATTCGGTCACGATCTTTTGGTAAAGAGGACCGTCCTTTGGAGACGGAATACTACTACAGTAGCCATTCTCTATTGTATGAAACTAAAAAGACAAAAATCAATCATAAAAGAAACTAACTTTTGCGTCTTGAAAACAAATTGAAACTGAACATTGTCGTTTATAATTTATTTCTTCCTTCTACTTACGCTTTCAATCGATGAATCAAGTAAAAATAGAAATCCTATTTATAACAAACTGGGATTACCGAAGTAACTAAAAAATAGCTTAGATTTCCGTAATATCACTTCGTCTGATTCCGCAGTATGAGGGAATCGCCCGAATTGTCACGATTGCAGCGGAAACCTAGACTTGTTTCCCGTTCCATCATGCACTAACAAATGTAAGCAGGAAACCACCTAACCGGAACAACTTTTTAAAAACAAAAATCACAAGTATATATCAGTCACGATGACATATAAGACTGTGAAATGTCATCTAAAATTAGAACATTAATAGTTTTATTCATTCATATTAAAACTTTTATATATTCACTCACGTCAATATGCCGAAATGACTTTTAACAGTTTTCGAACACTCTCAAATAAAAAATTGCCTCGTTTTGAAAAGTTCCTCCGCTGATGAAATTAATGTCTCCGCATTAGATCACACTTGCATGCATTCCCTTTTCTTCTTCTAAGTATTACAACGCGAACAATTTTATTCATTATATCAAAATTGACTACATGTGAGTTGGTAACTCGACTTCAGCTGATCAAGAAGTCGGCCATATACCAACCCAAAATCTCGCCAGATTTCGTGACTATTTAAAAGTTTGCGTAAGTTTACAAGTACGTTTTTTTCTATCTCATTTATAACAGACATCGACGAATGCACTGACGGCACGGCACATTGTCAAGTTTACTGTACAAATAATGTCGGGTCATTCCACTGTTCATGCGAGAAAGGCTACGTGCTTGCAGCAGACGGTACAACTTGCAAAGGTAATTATAGAAACCTTTATTTCTCTTGATTAAAGTTTAGATCAAATTAAGAAGAGAAGAACAAAACTTAAATTAATTAATCTATCTAGTTCATGAATAATCTTCAATACAACTTTGAATGTGTTTCTTTATAAGGTTGTTCTAGTATTTTATTCATTTTCAGATGTTGATGAGTGCAGTACCAGTAATGGGTCATGTGAACAAGTGTGTGTGAACACGCCTGGTTTCTACACATGTGAATGTAATTCAGGCTATGTATTTGCAACAGACGGGCACGCATGCTCAGGTATTTCACCACAAAATGTCGTGATATGCGAATATAAATAGAAATAGTTACGGTTCTGAACTTGCTATTTACGTTTGACTCTGTTCTGAACAATAAATAACGCTTGACTATAAGAAAGTCTAATTTGCTGAAAAGTTGTCGAATTTGCATAAACGAATAAAATAATTTTTGAAAGGTGGATAAACATTCCGTAATCAAGTCGTTGATTGTGTAAATATAAGATGAGGGTACCCTGATATCTTGGTATCGGGAGTAAAAGAAGCAAGTGCATTAACATAGGGCAAAAACGCAATAACGAAAGACTACAATTTATCATACTTAAAGACTTTAATAGAAATGTAATGTTAATCTACATTGATGTATTAAATATATTTTACGACTAAATAGTGATACGTATATTGTATTTCAGACGTAGATGAATGTAAACAGAATGTCGATGGCTGTTCCCAGAATTGCGTTAACACCCCAGGATCATTTAAATGTAGTTGTAATTCTGGTTTTGAGTTGCAGGCTGACCAAAAAACATGTACAGGTACGTAAATAATGTACATTAGACAAAATCTGTTGTTGTTTTCTCGAAAAAAAAATATGTATGTATTATGCTTTCTTTCTTCCTTCATGATATTACAGCTAGAAAGCATGTACTGATACAAATTCCACACAATACATTTTTGTATTTGGCAATTATGTGGGATTTAACGCTAATTAGTCTATATACACTGTGCTACCGTTGATTCGAAATGAATCCAAAGCATCAGTTCCAAACGTTAAAGAGGGGACTTCATTTGACCGATTAAGCGGTATCAATTTATTCACAGTACAGTCACATAAGTTGTGAGACACACAAGCTGTTGGCGACATAAAAACCCGCCGAAATAAAATAAGTTACAAGCTAAAACAAAAGCAACACAACGAAGTTAAAGTTATGGCATCGATATATTCAGATATAAGCAACAGATATATTTAAAACTATCCTATATATTTATAGATATCAACGACTGTAAAGGAATTATTTGCCAAAATGGCGGCACATGCCGAGATAGTTTGAACAAATATAGTTGTATTTGCGCAGAAGGCTTTACATCAACGCACTGCGAACAAGGTTTGCTGGTTTTCTTATTATACACATATGTTACAGAACATGGTACTTTATTTATGCATTTATGAATATGAAAACATCAAATAAGAAATAATGTTTATTGTGATAACATGAACGAATTTTACCAGAAAAAAGACAATAATTAGATGTTTAACACGTATAAATGGGGAAGTTGATAAACATATTTTCAAATGTCAGAGTAATTATTTCTAAATATTAATTGATATATCCTCACAAACAAATTACGAGGTTGAAATTAAAATGACAATACATATTTTTATTATCTTTCTATTTATAGATGTTAATGAATGTTCAATTCATAACGGGGGTTGTCAGGATGCTTGTATAAACACTGTCGGGTCGTACCATTGTGGATGTTATGATGGTCGCGAGTTACAAGCAGACGGACGTTCGTGCTTCGGAGGTATATTTTTCATTCATGTCTTTCATTTTCTTTTGCGAAAACAGTTACTAGACGTTGTAATTAAATAATAACAATGTTTGCCATAAAAATATTCAATATGATATCATTGTTTTACTGTTATAAAAATCTTAAATATGCCAGTATGTTTTGGTTTGTTTTTCAGATGACGGAGACACTGTGTTCGAACGATTTAAAATTTCGGGTGGTAAATTACCTAAGGCCTGTTTTGTAATGCCACTAGCACATTGCACAGATGGTAAAGATCATAGAACCCAGCTTACATCAACTTCAGAATGGTATAGCCTTACAACGGATATTTCAACGTCCTTCACCTTGGGTATTGTTTTTATCAAGGTGAATGATTTATCATTACCATTGTCAATACAAGGACTTGAAGTTACAATTTCATCTGGTAAATTTTCTCTCAATTACGGAACAAAACACAACTCTAGCGAAGGTAATATCATCACTAATTCAGATACACCTGCCGACTGTAAATCATTTGAACTCGTCGAATCGGACATATTTGAATTTATATCAGCTGGTTCCTTCTTAAAAACGTATCTTTTGAACTTGTTCCCGGCTTTACCAAATTGGATCAAGTTTGAAAACACGCGGGAATCCGTTCTTGCTATCCAAGACCTGAAGAGCGATTTAATTTATGGCAGACACATGGAACAGACCAGTTGGTGTGAGGGGGCACCTGTTTTGGATGACCATCTTTATAGCGTGTTTAGATTTGGTTCAACGTTTTCTTTAGAAATTCTTGGAGACAAGATAAACGTCCCAAAAATACTCTCGGGTCAAAAGTTTTGTTTCATCGTGGACCTTTGTCAAAGTAACGGCGGCAGTATCTTTTTCATGGTACCGGAAGAATCAAGAGGCATCCTCGAAACTGTAAATATGTTCAAATTGCTGAAAAAAGAAGATGACTTGACGATACATCCACGAGGTATTGGAATTTCAATAGTTAATGGAATAAATGTTCATAAAGATTCAACTGAACTTCAGTTATGGAACGGTGACGCAATGTTTCAGTACCCGTAAGTATTCTTTGAACGATTTTTATTTTTCAAGTTTTTCATGAAATCTGTCATAACTTCTATACTTACCATTTTCTGATAAAGCACTGAGATTGTCGAGCGCGCTGTCCTTCTGACAGGTCTTGTTTAACACTCAATGCCATTTTGATAAATAAATTACGATATCAACAGCATTAATACACCACCCCGTCTTCTCGTTATGGTATCAAAACTTAGGCACTGAATGTTCATGAAATGCAAGGATATTAGGAATTGGGATGAACAAACTTTTACAATAAAAATCACTTTTATAACGTTTGACAAATATTTTCATATTGGAAAGTTACTCTCTGTGCTGAAATTTCTCGTTTTTTTTTAAACACTGTTGTGTTTATGCTTGCTATCGTTTATATGAAAAATCATCTCAATAATTATTTCAGAGTCTTTCAAAGAGGAGACTTTTGGATTGGGGCCGACGTTCTGAAAAATGACAGCAAATTATTTGTGAATGCAAGTGCTGATATTTTCATTGGGATGCCAAATATAGACATTGTAAGTAAAGTGATATTTAATTTTCTTCAAATTACATGCACATTTTAAGCCCTGTTAAAAGTATATTAGTTAGTTTTGAAGTAGTTAGATATACTGATTTCATGATTTTATAAATCAAAGTATATATAAATAGGAAGGAGACAGTCTAGTCTATACAAATAGCATCTACCAGTAGTAATATCACCTTATAAATATTTCAAGATTCAAGATGTTATTAAGGCATTAACATAATGTCTATTTCTGTGAACAATAACGGCGTTTACACTTACAAACACATAAACAAATGCCAAAAAAAATCATGTCAATACGAGAAAAGTTATATTGCATTCATAATATCCCAAATTTCGAATAGATACTATCAAAATATTACAAGAAATGGTTTTAATTAGCTTGCATAAGCTTACAGTTGTTTTTCTAGCTTAAGTTGCATAATAAGAAATAAATCAGGACAATTTCCATATAATAACATTCTTTCGCAAGTTATTATTTAACTTTTTAAACTTTTGTATATTTGGCCAAGAGCAGTAGTATTTTGGTAAATATTCTTTTCGTTAATCAGTGTAATTCAAACAGGCAAGTAGAAATGAGATTCAGTTTATACAATATTCATTTTGCATTTTAAACAAAATCGTTGCTTTCTTTCACTATTTCTCAGTGTTCCTTCTTCAGTCATTAACTTATGATCAGAACATCTAAAACGTGAAAGAGCTATTCTGAATTTTAGTACATTTACTTTTTTTATAAAATAAAATTATGTTTTCATACCAACCGCAAACTTCCTTATAGAATCTAATAATATTCAAATAATTTACATTTATCATACATGTATATTGTTTCTGAAAAAGTTAAATTTTGTGCTTAAATGTGACATTGTTGCTGAAGATCCTACCGAAATTGACACAGCTTCCATATAAAATATTTAACGATTTTAATTAGTGGCAAAACAACGGTTATCCACATAAATGTCCAATTATGTTTTTGTTGTTTTTATCACACAGATGCTTACATCCATTTTTCTGGACGAATGGAGCACCTATATACGTATGACCTTATCAGCATCGCCTGCAATTAAATTTAAAGTTTTTGGCAAAGAATTTTCTATTACCTTAAAAAGTCTTATAACATCCGAAATGAACCTGTATCTATCAGTTGGTGGTAAGTATTTGATTATTATTTTGACGCATTCTAAATGTAAAGGTTACTTTTTTATACAATATAGAATGATTTCACTATGAATCTTGATATTACCATTGCATGGAAATACCTTTCAATATCACCGCAAAAGTTAAGCATATAATCAGCGCCATTCAGAGAGAAAATTTACTTTGACGACTGACAAAAAACAATGATAGGTACAAACGGATATATTTTCTCAAAATATTATTTGATTGGCGGGTCTTAAAATTGTTTCAATTTTCCCGGAATAGTTCACACATAATGTTTTATTTTTCATAGCATCACGAAGAACGCGCACCTCACCGAAGCTTCAAGGTCAAAAACTCGTTTTCTATATATACCAAACTAAGCGTGTAAAACTTCTTTCTTATCAGTGCTAAATGTTACGGTTAAGTAAAATAAAAATTAAAACACTAATTCCTATAGCAGGTCTCGGAGCCGGCTCGTGACCAGCGCCCAAAAGTATGAACTGATTCGGTTATTTTCGGTAAAACCTACGCGCCAAACACAAATGGCCAAGTTTACTCGGTATGGCAGATCTTCATTTCCAGATTTGTCTTTTGTATTTGTTTGCATAAACACGTTACAAAGTAAACGAATTCAAATTCTTTCGGAAAATTAGCTTAAGGTAACGGTTAATGACCGTAAAATCTATAAATACAAAACTAAATCCGATGGCATCGGCTTTTTACTTAAATATACTAGATTATTTATGGAAGACATCGGAGAGAAGACTAAGATTGATTTTTTTTTGTTTATTTTGATTGGGTTTTACGTCACATCGACACAGTATAGGTCATATCGCGACGTTCCAGCTTTACTGGTGGAGGAAGACCTCAGGTACCCTTCCGTGCATGATTTCAGGCAAGAAAAGGCACCTGAGTAGAACCACCGACGTTCCGTTACCTAGCTCGATAGCTTCCTCACATGATAGAATCCAAAGTCCCTGTCGAGATTCGAACCCACAGGGGTGAGGGGTAAGTGGTTTGAAGTCAACGACTTTAACCACTCGGCCACGGACGCCCCGTAAGATTTAATAAAAACTTATTTAAAGTTGTATCATACTTGTAAATATAATTGGTTCTTACTTCGCGTTTGCAACATTTTTATCGTTTTATCATTTTGATGCTTAATCAAATATTTACATTGTTATAGTCTAGGTTTAATATCGGTTTCAAAATATTCAAACATTAAACTATATATTTCTCTACCATAGGTCCTCAACGAGTTTGGTGTGGGGAAAACGCCAACCCTCCAGGAGTCTTCTTTTCCTTCCTTCTCGAAATCAATCCTTTTAAGAATGTTCCATTGTTATCAGAATGGGGTGTAGCCAATATTCACGAAGCCTATGGATTCGTTACATACGAGTCCCCACAAGCGATTGTTGACATCAATATTAAAGAAGATATCCTTAACTTCACAGATATATTAGATCGTCTTATAGTCCGTTTCAGAACAGAACTTCAAAGTTTAGGCATAATATTTAGGAACACCACATTGGTGCTTGCACATGATATTGAAGTAAACTTTGAAACTATGAAAATACTTGTAAATGATTTATTAGATGACATTCTATCAGGCGACTGGAAAGCAAAGAAACGTCTTGTTGAACAGCTATGGCAAGAATACCAAAAGGTGGAACATAGGATTAAATTATTCTTTGACGATACAGAATTTATCGCTCAAAATGCTTTCAAAAATTTTACAAATATCATAAAAGATGAAATAGATTTTGTAAAAACTAATCTTAAGAATGCCATGGAAAAAGTGACAAATTCTTTGGTCATAAAGAACACGAAAGAATCCGGATATACAGGTTTCGGGTTGAAGTACACGACTAATGTTCAATTTCTTGGTCTTAAATTAGGAGAATTCGATTTAGAATTTGTTGATTCTGTCGAGCATCTTTTTAAATGTAGTCGTTTTGAAGCTATCAGTAAACATTTTGAAGGCAAAAAAGCTGTAAGATTAATAGGAAGGGCATCACGTGAATTTGCTTTTCATGTATTCATAAAAATTCATCTTGGTGCCGGCATAGGTGGCGCTTTGTCAGCAGATAAAGATAAATTTGCTCTACAACTTGAGACATATGCTCAGTTTTTAGGAATGAAAGCAACAACTGACCTATTTATCACCAATAAAGGATTATATCTCTATATGGAAGGTAATGTTTGGGACATTTTCTTGGCACAGTTAGATATTTCTGCAGAAATGAAATCAGAGTGGCATCACATTGTATACAAAGTAAGTGGTCGTTTTCTAGCAAAAAGCAGAAAAAGGCGTCAAATTCAGACCAGAAGCGAATCATTTCAAGACAGTTATTTAGATGCCTTGAAAAAAGTAGTTAACAAGATTGCAGATATGGCGACAAAACGCTTAAGCCAAGCACAAGAAGGCCTCAAAGCTGCACAAGGAGGACTTTCAAAAGCTCAAGACTGGCTTGAAGAAAAGAAATCAATTGTAAAAGGTGCAAATGAAAAATTTGATAGAGCTGTTGCCGCACTAGAAAGAGCAAAGGACAAGCTAGATGATGCCAAGAGACCATTTGAAGAAGCATTAAGGAAACTCAGTGCTGCTCAGAGGAAGGTCGATAATCTTTGTAAAATTCGATCTTGTAGAAAGTTTTGTATACCAGGAGTAAAATGTAGAATTTGCCGAAAAAAGGTTGGATGGGTTAAGATTCCATATCCGTGCTGTAGATTTACAAGCTGCATGATTAAAGTTCCAGATCCAATATGTGTTGCTGCAAACTTGGCGTGCAGAATAATACGAGGAGCTGCTTATTTAGCTTTGGAGGCAGCCAAGATATTTGTAAGAGTTCCTATGCTTGCATTTGATGTAGCAAAAGCAGCGGTATCAGTAGCCCAGTTTGTTGTTGATAAGTCACGTGTCGTGTTGGATGTTGCTGTTGGTTTGCTTGATGTTGCCAAATTAGGATTAGAATTTTCAAAAGGTGTTCTTGAAGCAGCAAAGGCAGTTCTTGAGGGAGTTAAAGTCGCTATCGGTGTTGCTGCTAAAATTCTCGAGTTTGTAATAGATTTTGGACTGAAAAATTTGCTTGACGTCAGAAATTGTGGCTTCAATGTGGAATTGTCGACCCATGACCTACCGGTATTTGATATTTTTTGCGACGTAAATGCTTTCCGATTAGGTTGGAAAACTATCACAATAAGAATAAACTTTAAAAATATAGTGCAAAGTTTATGGAATGCGGCAAGAGCAACAATTGACATGCTAAGTAAATTGATTGGTGGTATCGGAAGAAGACGTAGAGAGCTAGAATTTAAAGCGTCTGCTAAAATGCACGCATATATTAGAAAAATCAGAGAAGCTAATTTTGACAACGGTACCTATCAGTTTTCAAATGAAAGCAATGAATTCATAGATATTGTTGATGAAATTCTTGGATTTAATAATCATAGTAATACTGATTATGAAAGTAGGTCAATAATTTTCAAAGAAAAATGTAAAACGACCACTCATGTAATGAAATTTATGAACGATGCGTTAGGATCATTGAATGAAGTTGTGAATGAATCCAGAAAGTACATGGATGAATTAGCCATTCTTAACGATCAGCTTCAACAGTTTACAATCGAAGGCCTTGCGGAAAATATGACATTAGATAATGCAGGAATAAGTAAAGAATATGCAGAACGAGATTATAACATGACAGAAGATGACTTGAATAGAGCATTAAATGAATCAAAAGCTGCCCTTGCTGATGATCCGCTTCTCAGGGAAATAAATTCGTCAGCTTCAATGGCAATGGAGTCAATGAATGCAGAAAAAAAGTCAATAGAGTCAATAAATTTTCTAGAAATTTGGTTGGATGAAATGTCAAACATTTCAAGCGAGTATTTCAATGCTTCACAATGTAATGGATTCAAAGACTGCGTCCTATATGCCATTTCCGAATTATATACTTCATTTGAAGATGAAGATATTCCAAATGTAGACAACATTCGAAAAGCCATTCTTGATTTAGAATACATTTTAATAGAATTATTCCAAAACCAGTCGTCATTGATTGAAGAATTAGCAGCTGCAATGGACAGTGTCATGTCAAGCATAACATTTATCAACGAAACTAATCCATTCTGCTCAGAAGCACCTATATTTCTAACGGAGTTGAAAAATCAAACGGTACTGATTGGGACAGATGTGTACATAACATGCAATGTTACCGGATCCCCGTTTCCTAATATAAAATGGTTTATGGAAGACAACCTATTACCAAATGAAACAGAGATGCAATTGGTGATTAATAATGTGACAGTGAACGACAGCGGCGTTTATAGGTGTGAGGTTGGAAACGTTGTTGCTAATCTAACGTCAGCAAACGCCTATCTTCAAGTCGTTACATACGGTAATTTCTATAAATTTAACGGTTTACATAATAACATCATTATTAATATAGATTGATGAAAAGCTGCAAATAATAGACAAATTTTATATGACGCAAATAAAAGCCCTCAAATTTGCATCGGTATATTTTACCAAATTGCTTGCTTGTAACTAAATACAGATGGTATATGGGAGGCTTTCCTCTACACATTGTATAAATCTGCATTCAATATTCGGCCAGTTGGAATTATTTTAATTTCACACACGCTTTCGATAAATATATTAACATTAAAATGGATGCTCTTTTTACACTTTTTTAGAAGATGGGGAGGGGTTCGACACTTAAGCATTAATTGATATCAAAAACAATGACAAGAATTGTATAACTTGTATATGTTTGATAACATTCTGACATAATAAGTTTTGTATTTATTCATTTATTTCATTATTTTGCATACACATTTGCATTTTTAAATTTGAATGTTCCATGTTGTCATTTACTTGTCTTCTACGTGTATATGTATAATTGTTATGGTTATTGTAACATGTTTCAGCCTATTGTAGTTGCATAGAACATTCCTTTATTTACTGTAAAATAGATATTTAAGAATGTATTTTAGATATTCGAGAGGATGTATGAAATGATCTTCATTTGTTCGAATATGTTTTAGATGACGATGAATGTCAAACGGAGAATGGCGGATGTGAACATATTTGTGAAAACTTTGTTGGGTCTTATATATGTAATTGTTTCCATGGTTACAGACTCGACGAAGATCGCAGGAATTGTTATGGTAACTTTTTATGGCATTTCGTTCTTTTATGAATAACTTTTGACTTACTAAATAATTGTTGTTTTTTTAACTTGATAACGGTCATATTTTAAAAATCTTTGTTTGTCATCTAGTAGGTTGTGTTTAAGGTCGAGAAACATCTCTCAGTCAAAGATATGAATGTAATACCACTAATGATATAAAAAAAGAAAATAATCCGAAATTATCAGGATTCTTCACCCGTTTTTCAATCATCACTTAAGTATAAAAAGGGATTGTTTAATACATGTAGTTTTTATAGCGTAATTTACCTACATAAACTATTGATGGATTGAAAAAGAAATGATAAGTTGCCCTTCTTCAGATATAGACGAATGCTTAATTGGTACGTCAACTTGCGAGCAGACATGCTCAAATAATCAAGGATCGTTTACATGCGGATGTAAATATGGTTTTGATCTGGATAATGACGGTCGTTCCTGTCAAAGTAAGTTCTTATAGCGCATGTCAGCACCAAACCCATTATCACTTATTTACATATTATGAAAATATATCATTTAAAGTTTGTTTTAAGTTATGACAACGGTGAGGTATTTCTGTAAGTATTTTACATTCATTTTTTAGAATCAATATGTTTAAAAGTAATGTTGTAGTTGCGAGAACGTTGAAATGTGTGTTAAATGTATGATACTTATTCACCATGCTGCTTAAAGTAAAAGAAAAATGCATTTTAGTTTTTTAAAAACAGGTTTTTTATCTTTTCAGTTTCGTCCGGATTAGATAATCGCATATTAGGTAAATAAAGATTTTTCTTAAGAAATCTTAATCATTTTAAGATACATTGATTACTTTAATAATGTACCGACAATAATTATCCTATAAAAAAATATCCTATAACTTATGTAGCACAAGACTAGATGTTTACGTAATTTTAGTAAAATGTGGAATTTAAAATAAATCAATACTTGATTACATATTCATGTAAGTGGATGCTAGACTAGATTTTCATGTATTTGGATGTAAGACTAGAACTTCAAGTAATTGGGTACTAAACTCGGTTTTCAAGTATTTGATATAAGACAAGGTTTAAAAAAACAAACCAGGACGGTCACCTCAATAGATAAAAATTCAAGCGATCCGAGCTCGATTCCGTCACTTTCGCTGTGATTGATCATGGAATGCTTTCACTGTACCTCTGCTCTGGCATGTACAGAAGTTATCATTTCCTTGCGAGAAAGAAGGCAGCTAGTAGTGATAAACTGATTGACTGCCTGCACAGGAACGATGCGTTGAATGAACTGGGCTCTATTCAAAGATGCTTCCTGCCGTAATCAGGAGGGTAACCTGCAACATCATCGCCATAGGTTTTAAAGTACTTTGGTTCAAGATTTTTAAGTAATTGGAGAATTGACCATTTTTACCAGTTTCTGAATGCTAGACTAGATTTTCAAATATTCTTATACCGGAATTGCTTTTTGAAGTAGTTAGATACTTTAAAGTAGTTAATAACTCGTTTACCAGTTTTGTAGCCTTAGATGTCTACGGTATCTGTTATATGCCCGCGTTTTAGTATCCGTTAAACGACCGCTTTAAATAACCGCGTCTACGATATATGTTAAAGTACATTTTGCACAATTTTAATACATTATGTTGTCTACTCCAATGACGTTATTGTAATAACTTGTTATTTCATCTCTATTTACAGTGGTGATTGTGTCATGTTGCGTTCTTGTTGTTGCAACTTTAGCTGTAATGGGCACAATTCTCTACTTTAAGCTCAGGTAAAACATTTATCATTTCTTAAAGACTGGCTTCTCCAAGTGGTTATCGAGTCGGAATATTAATCTAAGGATTGGTGGTCGTGTGGGTTCAAACCAAATCAAGGGAAAGCCGTTGTCGCCTTGAGTAAGAGAGCAAGACACTTTACTCATTGGTTGGTTCCAGGAATGTATTAGAGGCTTTGTCTAACAACTTATAGATTCCTACTCAATCAAGCAAGACATCGCATCTGACACTATCAAGTACGGTGATCGATGTCTTATTAGTCAACTTATAAACCAAACTCGTCATCACTTCATTGTAATTCAAATGTTACGTTGTTAGCAAAGCGCTTGAAAACGATGACATGAGCAATTCGGGCGTTTTCTGGCTTAATTGCTTAACCATACTATGGCGATAAAAGAATCTTATATTCCTAGTTATTTCATAAAGACTTCACTTAAAAAGTCAATAACCGTGAATGACATCTTATATAAGATCATACATAGACAAATATATTGATATTATTTATTTCAGATCGCCAAAAAATTGTACCCGAAATACAAAAAGTCGACATAACTTACGTTAAACCTTTTACATTTGGGCCTGCTATAGAATACGGCCCATCAAAACCTGGCTTTGATAAGAATCTTATTATACAAGCTATTGGAAATGGGAAGAAATAAAATGGTGACTAAATTAACATTTTTACAACGAAGATAAAAACCGACTATGAAAAGTTTTTTGGTTAATTTTGAGGATGTAGATTCATGTAAAAACAGATTTTTGTCTCCAATGTTTTCTTTATCCTTTAGTTCATTGCGGCATTTTTGCATGTAATCTTCGCTTGAATATATTTGAGGTGTTTTCCTTGTGTGTTTTTTATATTTACTTTTAAGGGTACATGTTTAACATGTATATACATGTACATGTAGTTTACTGCTTATATTCAGAGAGTATAGAAACCTTGAACTATTTTAGGATTTCATTATCTAAATCATGATTAAAAATCAAACGAAAATGGTACTGGACGTTCGTTTATAATGTATTAAATATTTAAGAAAGAATGTATATATTTAGAAAAGGCATCAAATTTACTAATGAGTATTCTGTTGTGGCCGTTTATTACTCAAGTCACTTGCCCCTCATCGCTGTGGGTTTGAATCCGACAGAAACTTTGGATTCTTTAATGTGAGGAAGCTATCCAGCAAGCTTACGGAACGTCGGTAGTTCTACTCAGGTACCCGTTCTGCCTGAAATAATGCACGGAAGGGCACCTGAGGTCAGCCTCTACCACTAAAGCTGACCTTTACTGTGTCGATGTGATGTAAACCCCAAATAATCAAACAAACAATTTATTACTAAGGAAGTGCATTTAAAATATAATTTTTATCAACAATTTACTGATCAATGTTAGATTGTAATGAAACTTAGCATTAATGAATAAACTAGTTTAGAGATACTGATCATCACATATATCGTGTTTATTTTTCTGAGTAATAACTGTTAGTTTCTTTAAAAGAGGCATTTTAAGGATGCTAATAAGCTGGACTTTAATTTTGTATAGATTCTTTTTTCAAAATGAAAAGTCATTCATAATAATATCTATCGAAGTTTTAGTTAAGGGCCTATTTTTAACTTTTTTTTTCAAAAAGAACCAAATATGTTGATTCTTTTTAAACAAAATTGACACAAATGTAAATATTAATGAGGCCATATAGTGTTTACTAAATGTCATCAAATTCTACAGATGTGTTGTTGAATTATGGCACTTTCTAAGTTTAGAAATACAGTTCATAAAGCAAAATTATAAATATAACAAAAAGGTACATGTAAATATATAATACAACGAAATATTAATCAAATAATATATCTCATTCGACAGGGAATATCAATTCAATGAATTTCATTTGTTATATGAAATTTAGCTCTTACAGAGCATATGATATTTTCTAAACTGTTTGGTTTTTACCTGATCATGTATATCGTATATAAGCAAATGACTTCTGCAGAAAGTCTGAAATAAAAAAAATCATTGTATATATTTCTTTTGTTTATTGTGTTTAACAATTGTTACATGGAAAAGAAAATTGGAAATAAATGATTATCAAAAATTGTATTGTTTTGTTCATAATATATTGGACTAACTAAGGCTTTTTCACGGCTTTGGAATGTATCGAATGTAGGATTAGTTCGACGTATTTTTCACAGCTTATTTTTTTTTGTAACCCGGCTTGCATGTTAAGTGGTCCATTACTTCTACTGCATGTTCAGTCTGTAAGGTGAAACAGTGTGATAACCCTGTGTTTGCAGTCTGGTTTGTCGTCCGGCGTTATCATTTTTACTATAATAACATCTTCTTAATCCCTACAGGTATTGGCAAAGTGAAAATTCGTACTCTATTCTATAGTAAATCAGTCGCATTTTAGGCTTAATTCTTGATTCCACTGTTCTTGTTGCATTATATACAGTCTTCAACTTTAAACATCAACACAATCTAAGTAAAATGATGCCCGAAATAATTATAATGTGTTAGCCATGTAATTATTTCAGAAATCTTCATTCTGTTGGAACGCTGTTTAAATTCACCACTTAAGAACTCCGGACAAGTGGTGGGTAATACATCTTTAATATTCTTCCGCCTACAAATTAAGGTCCTACAGGATACACACACAAATAAAACTTTTAAAGTCACCATATAACACAAAATACTACACAGATTAAATAAATACAATTTAATTATGACCAATTAAGCTAGAGATTACTTAAATTGCACCACTTTAAAATTTAAAAGAACAACTTTCTAGACTACAACGGGTCCGGTCTAATTCCGTACCGGGTTGAGACCTACACCAATAGTTATGAAACTATACAGGAATGATCATTGGATAGTCACCTTCAAAAATGCTCGCTGAACAAGATGGCCGCCAGAGCTAAAAATAGGAAAAAGAAACACAGTATTAAACAAAACTATAGAAAAGATCATTGGGCTGTTTTATACTGGAGCTGCTAAAATTGTAGCGGTGTGCTGAATTCAATGACTGCCAGAGCTAAAAGTAGAGGAAAAAGCAACAACTTTAAACCATATCTCCTCCTTTACTTTCGGATAGATTTTGATGAAACTTTACAGGAATGATCCCTGAATAGTTTTACCATAACAATGCTCAAATGGTTCCGGTCTGTTGAACTAAACGGCTAACAACATGTTCTTAACCATGAGTAGCTTAACCATGAGTAGCAACCTGATTTAAATTAGATTGGCGGGAGTGTATGTCACGGTGAAAAACTGTTTACTTATGGGGGTTAATTTGTAAGCATCGGTACAGCCTCGGTACAGCATTTCGATGGTTCTGAACTTGAGTCCCGGTCGGGCTGCAAATTCTTCTCTTACTGTGACAGTTGTCGCTAAATCACAGACGGGAGTATAATCCAATTTGGTGACACTTTATTAAATAGTTTAGGTTTAGGGCCGAGTTGGCCTTTTACCCTCAGAAAATGTAGAAAAGGGAGACAACTTTAATTATTGCATTTGAATTTCCGCTTAATTTCGCTGCATATATACGGAAAAAATGATTATTTCTCGCCACAATAATCCAGTATCAAAAATACTTTATATATATATATATATATTTTTTTTTGGGGGGGGGGTTTCGTCGTTACAACACAGTCTAGGTCATATATTGACATTCAAGCTTTACTTGTGGAGGAAGACCTCAGGTGCCCTTCCGTACATTATTTCAGGCACGAAACGATTACCTGAGTAGAATCACCGACGTCCCGTAAGCTAGCATTATAGCTTCCTCACATGAAGTAATAAAAGGTCCCTGTCGGGATTCGAACTCATAGCGACGAGGGGCAAGTGTTTTGAAGTCAACGACCTTAACGACTCGGCCACGGTCTTTAGACACTATAACGCTATATATCAACTGTTTGGTTATATTTTCTTATTTCCGTTATAATCGGGCCATAAAATCTGTCAAAATGTTTACAATTAATACTGTACATGGAAACATGTCTGTAACTTGACAGTTACACTCGAAGTCACACTAGGCTACGCACAGTCCCCTTGCTTGAAAATAAATCTTTCGTTTTAAATGTTTTAGATGAGTTTTGACGAAAACTTACGTTATGTACTCTCTTGAGTATTTATTATGTTTAAATTCGATTGTTAAAATATATTGTAACTTATATCACTCGCTTTTGAGTTCGCTCCCTGGAATAATAATATCTGTCATAAGTTGCGGTTCGGACCGAAATATCCGTCCCGAGGGGACCCGCCCTTTGGGCGGAAACGAGGCTTGCCGAGTTACCGCCCATGGGCGGGTTCCCGAGGGACGGATATTCCGATCCGAACCGCAAACAAATGAAAAATATTTTTTCTTGCATATTCAGCCATATTATTTCATATTTAAAATGGTTTACCTCAATATGATATATGTTCATGGAAATTAAAGTCATTTCATCCATAAATATTTTCTTACAATAGCGTATGAACTTACAACTTAAATAACAACGGCGAAATGACGTCATCCTAAGCACATATTTCCCTTCTAAAACGACGTCATTTTAACGCGACTCATCTGGCACCCCCCATGCCAGATGAAATTTCCGGCAAGGGTAAAACTAACAAGTGCTGGTGTCATTGCATGGTTGTGACCCAAGCAAATCTCGCACTCATCACTATTAGTTTAATAGTGTGGCGCCACAATTTCCGTATATTGTTAAAGCGGACAAAAGTCGTATCGTACATTATTTCATTTTAAGAGGTAAAGTACTTTTTGTGCGCATGCACGAATTTTAGAACACTTTAAAAGTACGCTGATGTAACGTAAATGTACTGTTAAAGTTTTATGCATAAAAACAATACTAATTCTATAAAAAGGTGAGTCATTGTATATTTTTAGCGTTTAAAATGTCATCATATTTATACACAATCTCCGCTTTCGCATTGTTAACATCTTTTTGTTTTTGTCTGCACGTCTTTTGTCAGTCCTGATTCAATTCTCAATATAAAAAAACATTCTTTGAAACTTATTTAAACCATTGGTTATTCCTATTGTATCAAGATGACTCAAATTAAGAAGATAAGTTGTTTGATCAAAATCTGATAAAATAATCCAAAAGTATAAACTACTGTGAACCATCTGGCCATAGGGAAACAATACGGGATGAATTGCCTCCTTACATTTTACCTTTCCTTGCCGTTGTCATCCTCCTTTATATAATCATGTTGAACTTTACAGCGTTGCGCATGCTTTCCGCCGTAAAGTGCGCAATAATTTAATATATTTTGCAATTCAGCGAACAGAACTCAACTTTGGTACCCTATTCGAAAAGCCTATGGTGTAACAACGCTGCTTTATTCTTTAAGTGGAACTTGTCCAGCTTCAATTTTGGTAAATGTTTATTATAAGTTTCGAGGATATCAAGATTGAAGTCAGTCTTGTCAGACTGTACGCATGTGTAGACTGGTCCGGCGTTATATCATTGGCTATTCACATTTGTTTCTAGCAAAGACTTTAAGGACCAAAAATATCGAAATTTCATCGAACCACCATGCCTTCATATGAAAAAGTATATGTCGTAAAAGTACGCTATACTGTACTTCATACATATCATGATATGTGAACCGTTCATAAGATGCATGCATATATCGTTACTAAAATGTCGCTGTGTTACAATTAAGTAACTCATAACCAATTGAATTCTAGCGGTACTGAATGCCAGACAAACATGCACATATATGCACTGAGTGGGCCCTTTGTTTTTGGCTGTTTAAGTTTGATACCTTAACGGTTCATTAGGCCTAAGAAAGTTTACATTTTTGTATTGAAGATTCATTTATATTTAGTGTCATATTAAAGTTTCCATAAAGTTACAAATTGGCCAAACACGTGATCAACATTTATCTTTTTGGCCATGAGTAAAATTATAGCGATCTAGTATTGTTTTATGGAAGTCTTCATACTACTTTGATTACATATTTCTACTTTTAAGACAAATTATTTTACATTTAGATTTTTTGTCTGCTGGTGAAAAAGACATAACATGCCTCAACATCTATTATTCAAAACGTTATAAATTATATTTTATTATTTATTATTTTATTTTATTCTTTATTATAGTCTCATCAATGTGATACAGTATATACAACATATCATATATAAAATGCATAATTAAAAAGAAGACACATTGTCACTCTCTACAGAGTTATAAGAGACTTTGTATATGTTAATATCATAATTACAAGTAAAATCGTTATAATTACACCATTGAAATGGAGAATTAAAATTCACATATTATAGTAAAAATATAATATTTTCATCTATATATGGGACATTCATGATTGAATATAGTATGCCTTAGTCATGTTCTGGATATGTTTAAGTAAAAACATGGATATATAGGATGTAATTTATTGTATGATGTGAGAATTTGTATATACAGGACATGATTAGGTACACGTACATGTTTATAGGGAAGGTGACCAAATTGGAACATGGAAGTATAGGATATTTCAAGTAGGAACATAAATGTATATGATCTGATCAAGTACATATTTGTAAGGGACATAATCATGTAGAATATGATTATAAAGAATGTTACAAGTAAGAAGCCGTTATCAAGTACATGTTTGTAAGTAACCTGGTCATGTATAACAAGTAAGAACATAGATGTTTAGGACGTGACTAAGAATATGTTGTAAAGGACATGGCAATGTAAGAACATAGAATATTATAAGAACATAGAAGTATAGGACGTGACCAAATACATGTTTGTATGGGATATGACCATGTAAGAATAAGAATGTAAAGTATATACAAAGTAGGAACATAGATCTACATGACATGACCACAAAAATAACTGTAAGGAATGTGACTAGGTAAGAAAATGAATGTATAGGATATGGTTAATGAATAACATGAATGTTTCGGGGTATATTGGTATTATCAGATATTATTGAGTTATTGGCTTAAAAAGAGCAAAAATTAAAAATACTAAAAGAAATGTGTTATTAAAACTAAGTAAATATACATGTGCAATTAAAAGTAACAGTCTACACTTAAAACTAACTGTATAGAAGATTCGATCTCATATTTAATATTGAGAAACAGG